TATTAATGATTAACAATATATTATATTTGAAAAGTAAATATTTTTTTAAATGACAACTATTTTTTGAGGGGAACCAAAGTGTTACACTGTAGGGGGCCGCTTTCCTTTTCCTCTATACGCCGACTTTTCCAGCATGAAAAAATAAAAAGGTTTAAGGCTTGTGTAAATAAAACCGGTGATTATTTTCATACATGATCATTATTCTTTTCATGTTCGTTTTGTTTTTGCTGCTGCATTTTGTACTTTTTTTACGTATTTTTATGTGCGAATTTATATTTTTTTCATGTGTGCATTTACGTCTGCTTTTCTGTTGTGTATTTATATATGCTCTTCGGTACGTTTATATGTGCTCTCCGGCTTTGCTTCTCAATTGTTAACGTGTTGAATATTTATAATTGAGTGGAACTGGAATTCTCTCAAACCATATAAGAAACTGTTGGCCTACAGACTGTCGGTCTGATTTCCTTAGCTTTCTGTTAATAATTCCCTCAACTCTAGATTTAATTACATCGTGTGATATTCTCTGTTAAATCGTCAGATACATCGTCATTAGGGGCCCGAAATGGATTGGTATGAAAATGAAGATAAGGCAGTTATTGTCATCTAACTTTGAGTTACAGCGCCTGAACGTTTGATGTGCGACCATACATTTTAAGATGCCAACCAGGTTTTCTCCAAAAGTTCCCACGACCTCAAAATCTGTTTCCATCAAATAAAAGCTAAATAAAAGCGGAAAGCAGAAGATTAAAATAAAAAATCCAGAAAGTTTAGAGCAAGAAAATAAATAATCAATAACGAAGCTAAAAATCAAGTACCTGCTTTGTTTTGTTTCCAACTGTATTCGTTGTAATTTGGAATTTTTTTTTCTAATTTCAGTTTAAGAATAACGTATTGTAAACAGATATTACATTTAATACGTTGTGTACAATCGCTGTAAATATTTGTCTTATTTTAAATTATTTATAACATACTGCAAAGAGGTACTGCATTGAATACGCGGTATACGAATCTTTTTTTTAAGTCTTACATATTTTTGAACGCTATATTGATGTTTGGTAGTTATATCATTTTAATCCTCTTATATAGAACGCCTTTTAAACATAAACTACTCTCAGATATGAAACTTATTTTATGTAATTAATCCATCTGCAATTAAACAAGCAACACTACAGGTGCACGCTATTGTCATTTATGCGTACATTTATAATTTAAAGAAGTTAGTATGCGAAACTTTATTTAGATTTCTGATACATTTTGGCCTCTCATGTAGTATATTCAAAGTGATTCGCTACTAGACCGGAAAACTTGCAGGGTGTGTAGGAGGTACAGAGACGACTCAGAATCACATAGGAATGCAGGATCGCAAATGTCGTAGTTGCGAGATAATGTGCAAAGAAGCCGGAAAAAAAAAAAAAGAACAGAAGCAGAAACACATTAATAGGGCAGAAAACATTTTGTTGAAAGGTTGTTCTACAATAGGTGTTCGAAATTACGACCAGAAGTCCTCTGGCAGGCTGACAGCGGCGTCGCATGGAATTCCTTACGTTCTGGAAGATTCCTGGCATGTCACGTATCCTCCCGGTAGCTACAGTTCGAGCGACGAGGTTTTCAGATGAAGGAACGGGCGTCTCCTACACGAAACTCTTCATGTGATCCCAGAAGAAGAAGTCCATGCATGATAGGTCCGGTGATTTGGCAGACCAATGAACCGGGCCACCATAACCTACCCACCGCTGTCCAAAGGTTACGTCGAGGTGTCGGCGGAAGTCAGTCGTGTAATGTGGAGGAGCCTTGTCATGTTGGTACCACATGAAGCGGCGCAATGATGGAGGAACATGGTGCTGCGTCAAGAAGTTCGGGCATGATTTGTTGCAAGAAGATCAGGTAATCCCTACTGTCCTGGGCAGAAGGTGCGATCAATTAAAGTACTCTCCAAGAATGCATGCCCAAACATTGACCGAGAAACGCTCTTGAGCTGCACGTGGTTGCGTACGATGAGGGTTCTCCAAAGCCCATACATGGGCATTATTCTGATTGAAAGCTCCCTCACGTGTGAAGTATGCTTCATCCGTTAACAATACGGACGCAGTAAAAGCGCTGTCTGCATCACACTGTTGCAGAAACCTTGTAGCAAACCTCCTCCGGAGTGGATAATCCTGGTTCTAATAATTGGACGTGATGAAGATGGTATGCGCTCATTTAGTTTATTGCGAGTATCCTCCAGACAATGAATTGGGATAAATCCACTTGTTGGGATATCGCTCGAGTACTCGTACTTGGATTGTCCTCTGCCAGACGTAAGATCGGCTCCTCATTACCAGATGTCCTCGTCATTCGCTGTCGATTCATTGTAGCTCTCGTTCTGTTCACCATTGCGAACTCGTGTGATGTTGAGCACGCCTGTTGGGGTAATGTTCTTGGTACAACCGTCGAGCGGTGTTGCCTGTAGCAATCCGCTGCTCCATACACGATCAGCATGTCGTCCAGTTCATCGTTTAAATAGACGTTCATCCTACTACCTCGGGAAACGGATCGCAAATGACAACTTCCAGCAGGATCGCTGCTCAGCCCATCTGTTCAGCGCCATCTACCGCAAGACTGCCGAGAATCTTCCAAAACGTAAAGAATTCCATGCAGCGCAGCTGTCAGGCCTGCCTGACGACTTCTGATCGTAATTTCGAACACCTATTTTAGAACAACCTTTCAATAAATTGTTTTCTGTCCCATTAATGTGTTGCTGTTTTTGTTGCTTTTCCCCTTCTTCTTTACACCATAGCTTGTAACTACGGCATTTGCGACTCTGCATTCCTATATGATTCCGAGTCGTCTTTGTACTCTCTACACATCCGGCAAGTTTGTCGGTCTGGTAGCGATTCACCCTATAGGTATTATTATATACTATATTCGCGAGTATTATTATATATATAATATATTATTATATACTATATTCTGCAGTTTTTATTTTCGCAACCATTGATCTCAGACTACTTACAATTAAAAAAAATATTGTAAAATGCAAAACGTTCGATTGCTGTAAAACAAAAACCTATTGCAACCAAAAATGGAGACGCATAACTAAATGTTGTAGCACTCTTATATACAAAATTTGAATGTCCTGAGGCTTACTCGTTTCTGAGTTACGCGAGACACATACGTACGTACGTACAGACCTCATGAAAAACTCTTCTGAATCCGTTTTAAATCCATTTTATAATTCGTTTTGGGAAAAGGAGTCTTTTATTCTGACCGTACGTATAATTTTCACGCAAAAACATCGTTTAAATGGATTCGAGAGCGGTCAAAATGGATATTTTCTTTGAAATATGATACCCGAAATTTTTCGTCATTACACTTCTTCCTTTAATTAGTACAAAGATGCAAAAAGCCAGCCTTACTCACTCAAAGGCAGTTTGAAAGTTATAAATCTATGTAAACAAAGAAATAAAACAGCAAAATATGAAAACACGAGAATAAAAATAAAATAATGGTAAAATGGAAAAAATTAAACTAAAAACGATATTGGGTTATTTACATTGGAATTGCGAAAAATTATTGCTTAAGTAAATGTTAATGCCCCACAACAATGAATATCAATATCAGAAACTTACCTTTTTATATACATTTTTACTATTTTACTTTTGTTTTTACACATTTTTATAAATTTTAAAGTGTTTGTGGGTGAGGAAAGTTCACTTTATTGAAAACTTCTTTTTAACTTAAAGAAAAAAAAATTAAATATACAATGATACACATACAAATATATACATATATATGTGTATATATGTATGTGTATATGTATATATGTACTTTTATATGTGTATGTGTAATATATATAGGGAATAAAAACAAGATATGTACCTGAGCCTCAAGCTTTCAGTAACTTTGTTTATTATCCCATTTATTTATTTCCCTATTATCCTATGTGGACACTTTGTAAACGAAGAGGACTCAAGGCAAATAATGATGTCTTAAGTGAAAAGAATCTAGAAGGAAGGCGTTGAAAAATCAATTGTTTGAATTCGGTTGTGGCGTTGCATAATGTAGAAGAAGGGAAAGTTTCCAAGAAGACTCGTTACGGTATTCGTCGTGTAGCCCATTTGTTGAGGCCCAGGCAGTCTAAGTCCATTAGCCCTGTTCACATTCTTACCTTTAGAGAGCGATGCAATTACGCGCTGATGAAGACGATACCATTTGTTACGCATGGAAATGAGCCAAGCCAACAACAACAAAACAAAACACGAAAAAACAATAACTGCTGCCTGTGTATTGATTGCTTTGCTTTTTTTAGCTTCTCGGAGTCGGTGTTCCTTCGTTTAAAAAAATTTATCTCTCGAAACAATGTATGAATGCGTCTCTGAGCTATGATAAATTCTTTAGACTTGTTTGTACCTTGTAAATTCTTTTCTGAATATTCCTGTTTTCAAATTTAGTCAATATGCTTCTCTAGTTCTCTTTAGCGTCGAGGAACTCATTTCGGTTTTATTATCGGAATTTTAAAATTCTCTTAGAAGGGAGTTTTTGAAAGTAAATTCTCGAAATGAGCTCATAAAATACTGTCGCAGAAGAAATATTGTTATAGGAAACAGATTAGAATAGAAGAGGTTAAAATTTCCACAGTTACTTATTCAATAAGTTCCGTCTGTACAAATATTCATTTTCATCGACACTTTATGTAGTTTTAAGATTCTGTTACAGGGATAAGTTCTGCCTATTTGTTATTAGAAGTTGTTTGCTTACAAATCTTCCAATGAAAAAAAGAATACGATTTGATGAATACGATAGTGAAAAGTATACGATAGGGATAAAAGTACGATTTGGGAACATATTTTTAAAAATGCTATAGTATCATAACATCAAAGTAAATACAGACGAGAATCTCGCGAGACATTTAGTACAATGTGGTGGAAATATAAATTTAGAAAATGGGCGTAACATTGCATGCGAATGCATCATATTGTCGACTCATTTACAGTAAGGTAATAATGTGTTTCTCATCGCAGGTGTGGCAGGAAGTTGGGAGGAATGGTGGACCTATGATGGCATATCAGGTAAGTTAACTCTAATTTTCACTTTTTCTAATGTTGGTATTTTCTTCAGTTTCTGAATGTAAGAATATTGTAGCAATGAGTATGAATAACACTTTTTACCTAGCATATAAATAGGTATATCATTAAGTATTTCGCACAGTCCGTCGATTTTTGTCTAATATTCCCTACAATAGTTAAAAAGTATTAGATCGTCTAATATATATTTTAGGTATACAAAAAATGATTAATAACTTGATTATTAAACACGACGAGCTTTTACTGAAGCGTAGTAATTTAATAACATCACATCACAATTAAATGGACGATATTTAAAAAGTGGCATTTTGTCTTGTTGCTTTAAAAAGAATGTTACCTGTAAAATTTGCATAAATGTTATATCATATAATGTTTTTGAACAACTCTATAAAGAACTGTATTGTATTCCCACGTGTTTGGTCTCATGGCGTTATTGATTAGCATGCCCAGTAAATAGTGGAAGACCGTGGTTCAAAATCTGTCGAGAGAACAGTTAGGTGTTTTCATATTTTCTAGTCAGAAATGCCTAATGGTATATAAATTGACGCTTTAACTAAAATATAGTGTACTGTAATTCATCGTCACCTAGGTCTGAAAGATTGGATCTCGTGTCTCTTTCTGAAGACATCAGCTGAAATACACGACAACGCGCCAAATTAGGTCTTAAATGAGGTGCCTGATCAAAAACAGTGCGGTCGTCGGCAGAAATAGGGTCATCTTCTCACAACAAAGAGCGCAAAGTAAAATGGAAATTAACCAGATCAGGAAATCATGAAAGGATTCTAGGATTAGGAATATACTTAAACAAAATTTAAAGCTAAGTAATGGAAATTTTGATCATAATTTTAATGAGGAGTGTTTCACGTAGGATTAAAATTTCTTCCTACGGTAAATATGGAGTATAACAGTTAAAATGCCGCTAAAGTCTACATTAAGTATTCTCAAAATGCGTCCATGTCTCTCTCCGTCCCCTTTAATGTTTACGACGGCTTCTTGATTACTTATCATCAGAGAATAGAATATTTAGTTTAACATTCAAGCGCGTGTTTACTGTATCCGGGTAATTATAATGAAATTATAATGAAATAATGTACCTGTCTCCTATGTATATACCTGTATCAAATACCTATGTGAAATGTACCTATCTCATATTATGCTATAGTACGTGATACAATAAAATTTTTTTGACGGGCAGTAATCAAGTATAACGTTATTTTTAATCTTCCTGTCGCGTGTAAAACTATTTCGTGTTTTTTTCTAACCTGAGGCGAATGAAAAAGCATTTTTCGGCGAAATCTTACACTGTTAATAATAATTTATGGACATAAATAATTTACGTATGTAATCATGAATTTAATCTTAGTGAAAACACTAGCTGGTAGAAAGATTTATCATATTTCAAATTTACGTCGACTCCGAAGGATATAAATATTTGGCAATAATTTTCCTTTAAGATCTTTCCATTTTGTAAATTATTACTTCAAATCATGATAAATTATTAATTAATTTGCAATAAATAGTCTCATATAGAGTTCCTTGAGGAAAAAAAGTTTACTTTATTTGTTTGCCCATAATTCCGTAAGAGCTTCTTTTGGGAATCGTATTAAAAACAGAACCTTCACTTCAGTTATCAGCCAATAAGTTCATTTTAATCAAGCTGTTTCGCAAAGTTCTGGAAGATATTCCTTCCATTGAAAATTTCTTTTTTGTTCGCGAAGTTTTAGAATAGTACAAAAGACCCAATTTCCTATCACAATAAAAGAAGTGATATGACTTTGAATAGTTCTTTTCTTTGTTGAAATTCGTCTATGTCTCTGCATAATTTAAGTTTTATAATAAGACTATCATTTTAGTAAGTAAAACATGGAGCAGCTGTTCATTATTTTAAATAGACTTTCAGTCGGATTTATTTATTTGAAAAATGGTTCTAATACAAAATCGAAGTATGTTTCATTTTGCTGTTTGATTAAAGCCTTGAAACTTAATTTTCGAATCGATTTTTAAGATTTGGATCGAAAAACGACATGAAGAATTCTTCGAAAACTGTCTGCGAAAGAAATGGAGAAGGAAAGAGAAATGAGTTTTGTACGAAAGTAACAAGAGTGATTCTTAGAATTAATTGGTGATTTTCTAGATTCAGCTCACAGTTTGATGTTATGATCAAGTGTTTCTTGATGTTACGCTAGAAGAACAGTGGTCACAAGTGTAGGCAGCCATTGCTTGAACTCCATCTTTCTAACTTTTTCATGTTTTCCTAAATTGTTCTTTTGTGTTTTTCCCAGTCAGTAATTATTAAATCAATACGAATGAGTTCACAAAAAGGAGGATGAAGTAGAGTAAGAAATTTCTTAATCATTTTCGGGGGAAAGGGTCTGTTAGAGATTTAAAGTGCACACTGGGTTTCTATCAAATTAGTATGCTAAATGAATTAGTTGATCACTTATTCTCATAAGCCAAAGCAAACGAGAGCTATTTGCTTTATTCCTTTTAGTGGAGGACTTCTAAATAAAATAGGCTCGAATATGTTACGCTTAAGAAACTTTATGATCCCATTTCATTTCACACGAAATAGAAACCGGAAAGAACTACTAGTAATAAAGTATGCATTTTGCGACACAATGGTCCTAAAATTGTAAATATGAGTTATCATGTTATGTATCTTATAAGTACCTATCTATGATATGCTCTTATCTATGATTTGCTCCATTTTCCATCGAAGGTTTGCCTGACACCTATGAAGCATTTTATGTATCTTATACGTACATGCATGCATGCATACACATATTAATGTATTATTTCTATTATAGCAAAAAAGCATGTGGAGATATCCGTCTAAAAGTAGCAGTGCCTTCATAGAGGATATTTTAAGGGAAAAATTGATTTTAATCAGGTTATAATTGGAAGAAGCCACGAAACCTCCCTTGCAGACGGCCTGTTCTCTGGGATTTAAACCCAAGTCGAAGTAATAATGTTCAGCGAATTTACTACCCATCTCTCTCTCTATATATTTTATATACATCAAACTGAAACATTTCATTAAAATCTATTAAAGCTGCCCAAAAATGCTGCGAAATCAACTTGAATAAATTAGGATTTTGTTTTTACATCAGCCAGGTGTAGTGTAGAAACATAAGGTATTTTTTGAAAGCAGGAAACTGAAGAAATGTGCAATGCCCTCACCGGGACTTGAACCACGGACCTCTTGAATACGCACCAAGTGTGCTGACCACTACACCACGAAGGCATGATAAGAAGGAGGGAGAAATAACTTATAGTAGAACAACTAGACATTTATCGGAGCAGGAAATTGGAAATTTCATTAATGCTTTCACTGGGATTCGAACTTCGAACCTGTTTGTCATGCAGGCTTTCAGTTACGCCCCGAATGCAGGCCGTGAGGAGAGAGAATTTCTTATGTCTCCTTTCATACTTAAAGTGTGACTGGAACTGAGGGGTAACCAGTTCTCAGATTCGGGTGATGATGAATTTATTATCTAAGACATTTTTAGACAGATGCCATTGTATAATCATTTAGAGTTCTTTCAAAGCCAAGAAACGTGAAGTTGTGCTCTAGCCGAGATACCAGCTCTGGACCTTCTAATTGCTAGTCAGACGTGTTTCTAATTATGCTACGAAGGAACGCAATGAATAAGGAGAAAATTCCTCATACAATGATGAGAGATTACCTAACATAAAGCAAGCAAGAATCTAACATGAACAAGAAAATTCCTTATACAATGATGAGAGAACTTAACATGAAGCAAGCAGACAAAGGGCAAAATGTTAAATTAACCATGAAAGCAAAAGAAAATTTAAACTTATAAGGTATTTTCATCTTCCTTTCTTGCGTGCCTTTGTGGCGTAGGTGGAAACATGTCTGACCCGTAATCGGAAGGTCCGGAATTCGAATCCGGGTAAAGCACTGCATATTTTTCATTTCTCCTGCATCGGTAAACCTTAATGACTTTAGGAACTTAAACGGAAATTCAAGTGAACTGATAATTCTTTTAGCAATTTTTGGAGCATCCAAGAGAATTATCAATACCCATTGAGACTTCTCTCGGCTACTCCTTGAAAAAGAGGAAAAGAATTATCAACTAATTTTCATTTAATTTTCCTTCGTTTTCAACATTAATTTCTGACTTTGTTGTTTGCTCTCTTCACGCTGGGTAACCTTCCATCACTGATTGGCGAAAATTTCAATATATGTATATATATATATATAAACAAGAAATAAAAACAAGAAATATATATATATGTAATAATAAAATTCCATAGTCAAGAATACACTTAAATTTCTAACTGTATGTTCTTTTCATTTTTAATGGCGACGTTCTCTTATTTGAAAGCACGTGGAATTAAATCCACAGCTCCGTAGTCAAGTTGTTTTTCCCACCATTTCTACACGTACAGTTATAGAATGTTCTGGAAATATTTAAAGCGAACTGGATTGGCTGACGAGGCTGACGTCATTTCTTGGAAGCTCTGCCTTTCCAGAGGCTATAAAAGGACTCGCAAAGGAATATCGGGGGCTTTTTCTTAAATGTCACGATGCAGTAAACTTCATACAAAAAGTTATTAGTAATTCTTCTTATTTACTCCGGATATCTGATTTTGTAACTGCTATTTCTCCTGAATAATAATAAATGGATCCTGTTTTTTTTTAAAAAACTTATCGTCTGATAATTTAAGCTACGACTAAAGCTGGTACATCACACACACACACACACATATATATATATATTTATTTACACATTTAGAGTTTCCATAACATTAAGGACACCCTTTAGGTCTGTGGTTTTTATCATAGTCGATATGCTTCTAGGCATGGAGTCAACAAATTGCCGATAGCGTTCCTGAAGTCCTATTAGTCTATGCTATGGTCATAGTAATATAGATAAATAGATAGATATATATATAGATAGATGTACTAAATGTGCATAAACGCATGCACAGGTACATTTAATAAAAGCAGAATGTATTTA